GCTGCGGCAGCAGCGGCTGCTGCGGGAAGCCAAACCCTAAACCCTAAACCCTAAACCCTAAACCCTAAACCCTAAACCCTAAACGATAGGCTGTTAAGAAAGGGAAACGCAGCATTATTGCAGAAGGAGGGGAGAAGCAGAAGCAGCAGCAGCAGCAGCAGCAGCTGCTCGCGGAAGCAGCGCCGGAGAGCTTCGGAAAAGCTGAAACTGAAAGACCTGGGGGAGATTTGGAAATGAAATGAAGAAAAATGAGTTTTAAAATGATTTTAATTTTCAATTTTGATATTTAATTTGCAAAATTGAAGCCATTTGGGCCCGAGCAGCAGCTCGCGCGCTGCTGCAGCTAGTCTCGGTCGATGCAGCAGCAGCAGCAGCAGCAGCAGCAGCAGCAGCAGCAGCAGCAGCAGCAGCAGCCAATCGACGCAGCGCGCCGCTGCTGCTGGCGGAGATCTTTTGTCTTTTCTTTTTTCATTAATTTGAAATTAATTTAAATTTCAAATTTGATTTTTTAAATCAAATTTGCTGCTTCCATTTCCCCAAAAAAGTGGGCTGTGTGCAGCAAGAGACGGCAGCAGTGACTCCCTCTGCCACAGGCTTGCTGCTGCTGCTGCTGCTAGCAGCCAATCGACGCAGCGCGCCGCTGCTGCTGGCGGAGATCTTTTGTCTTTTCTTTTTTCATTAATTTGAAATTAATTTAAATTTCAAATTTGATTTTTTAAATCAAATTTGCTGCTTCCATTTCCCCAAAAAAGTGGGCTGTGTGCAGCAAGAGACGGCAGCAGTGACTCCCTCTGCCACAGGCTTGCTGCTGCTGCTGCTGCTGCTGCTGCTGCTGCTGCTGCTGCTGCAGCGGGTGTTTTGGCTTCGTTTTTCTTCGCGTTTTGAGACTCTGCTGCCGCAGCAGAGCTGCAGCAGAGCTGCAGCAGAACTGCAGCAGAGCTGCAGCAGAGCTGCAGCAGAGCTGCAGCAGTTGCTGCTGCTGCAGCAAAAGAAAAGAAAAGGAAAAAAAGTTGAAGAGGAGATTATGGGGTGCGCGCAGTCGAAGAGTGCGCGCGGGCGGCGGCAGCAGCAGCAGCGGGGCAGCAAAGTGCAGCGGGCAGCAGCAGCTTTCGAAAAAGGAGCAGCAAAAGGGCCCACGGAAAGGGAAAAAGCAGCAGCAGCAGAGAAGCAGCAGCAGCAGCAGCAGCTGGAAGGACTCAAGACGAAGTCCATGAAGCAAAAGAGAAAAAAAGCTGAACAAGAAGTCAAGGAGTGCTTCAAAGACAAGCCCCCCACCGGGGGAGCAGCTCCCGCGGGCCTCCGCCGCTGAAAGGCGCCAAATAATGCTATTTGAGCGAATTAATTTGCAGAAAATGTTTTTAACTTCTCAAATACCTTTCAATTAAAAGTAATGGAGTTAATTCGCGCCTTTTCGGCGGCCGCAGCGCCGGTCTTGCATTATTTGAATTGCCCGCTTCTGCGCAGTTCCGCGGGACAGAAACACCTTTTTCTGTCTCACTGACACTTTCCTTTTGTCTTTTAAGAGTTTCTTTATCTCATTATTACTTTCCTTGATCCTATTTCGAATAAACTCTTTTTGAATTTGAAGAATCCGAACGAAAACGTGCAAAGGCAGGCTCTGAGAAAGTGGGAAATAGGCACTCGAGAGCACGCGCCTCATCGAAACTCCGTAATAAAATTCGCTGCAACAAATAAGAAAATGCGAATATTATGCGTTTTAGCAGCTTTTAATTGAAGTGTTGAAAGAACTGAGTTGCAGAAGTTTCGAATTCGCAAAAGTTGAATTGCAGGTTTTGTCGGAGCTGCGCATACACCCGGCGACCGCCACCGGAAAGCTGCACGGAACCCGCCAGTTCCTCTCAGGAAGCGGAGTTTGAACAGCAGATTTGTTTTCTGGAGTTCAAGAACAGTTTATAAACGCGAAATAAGATTAAAAAGGGGACAAAAGTCCAGCAGCAGCGGCAGATCGCCTTCCTTCCATGGAGCCCGCGCCGCAGCCGCGAAAGCGCTTCCAGCCGCCCTGGCTGCAGCGCGGGAAAGCCGAGGCCGAAGAGGCTTTAATTCCTCTCCGCAGCATTTCCGCAACACAAAAAAGAACTGCCACTGCAGGATCGCCGGAAAGCTGCGGAGTTTCCGCCTCGGAAGCTGCTGCTGCAGCAGCAGCAGCAGCAGCAGCAGCAGCAGCAGAGGGGGAAGGCGGGGCCCCCGCAGCCCGCAAGCGGGCAGCAAGCCAGCAGCAGGCAGCAGCAGCGAAGCAGTTTTGCAGCGCTGCGCTGCTGCCAGCAGCAGCTGCTGCAGCAGCTGCTGCAGCAGCTGCTGCAGCAGAGTTCGCGGCCTTCAAAGTCCTGTACTGCAAGCGCTCTCTCAAGAAGCACAAGACCCACTTGTGAGGCTTTTTTGAAAAGTCTTTTTATTCTTTTTCTTTCCAAGAGCTCTTCTGCCGCAGCGACGGCCTGCTGCTGCCCAGGGCCTGCCACGGGCTCCTCCTCAGCGAATGGGTGGGCCAATGGACCACTGGTCACTTCCGCTGAACCACTGGACCACTCTTGCTGCTGCTGCTGCTGCTGCTGCTGCTGCTGCTGCAGGCTTTCAAGACTTTGGTGGTTTGCCCCACGAGCCTGAAGGCCAACTGGCGCAGCGGTGAGCGCGGCCAAAGCGCCTAGGGTTTGGGGTTTAGGGTTTAGGGTTTAGGGTTTAGGGTTTAGGGTTTAGGGTTTGGCGCTGAACTCGCTCTAACTTCTTCAGAGTTCAAGAAATGGCTCGGCAGCAAAGTGCAGCTGCTGCTGCTCTCCGGCTCTGCCCAGCAGCTCTCCGACGCCGTTTGCTGCTTCGCCTTTTCCAAACGCAACCAAACCCTCATTGCTTCTTACGAGGACATTCGGTGCGCTGCTGCTGCTGCTGCTGCAATGCTGCTGCTGCTGCTGCTGCAATGCTGCTGCTGCTGCTGCTGCTGCTGCTGCTGCTGCTGCTGCTGCTGCTGCTGCTGCTGGGAGGCGCTCAGGGTGCTGCTGCAGGCGCGTGGAAGTGCCGTGCGTGGTGGACCTTCTGATTTGCGACGAAGGCCATCGGCTGCGGTCTTTGCATTCGCAGACTTCGCTGCGGCTGCAGGCGATTCGCAGCAAGCGGCGGCTGCTGCTGTCAGGTGCGTTTTGCTGCAGCAGCAGCAGCAGCAGCAGCAGCAGCAGCTGTGTGCAGCAGCAGCAGCAGCAGCAGCAGCTGTGTGCATCGCCTGTCGCTTCAGGAACTCCGCTGCAGAACAATCTGGTGCTTTGAATGCTTCTCAAGGCCTCCTGACTTCGCCAACGCTGCTGCTGCTGCTGCTGCTGCTGCGCTGCTGCTGCGCTGCTGCTTCAGGAGGAACTCTACAGCTGCTGCTGCTTCGTCCGCCCCGGGGCTTTGCCGGAAGCAAAAGTTTTCAAAAAAGTTTTCCTGGAGCCCATTTTGCGGGGCTGCCGCCCCGCAGCAGCAGCAGCTGAAGTCGAGCTCGGTGAGTGCAGCAGCAGCAGCAGCAGCAGCAGCAGCAGCAGCAGCAGCAGCAGCAGCAACATGCGACTCTGCGCAGCCAGGGAACGCGAGGCCGAACTGATGGCGAAAATGGTCAGCTGCTGCTGCTGCTGCTGCTGCTTCTGCTGCTGCTGCTGCTTCTGCTGCTGCTGCTGCTGCTGCTGCTGCTGCTGCTGCTTCCCGAAGCTAAAAAGACCTTCGTGTCTTTCAGTCGAGCTTTATGCTTCGAAGGACTTCTGAAGTGCTGGCCGGGCTGCGTGAGTCAGCTTCCTCTGCTGCTGCTGCGGACAGCTGCCACCTGCTGCTGCTGCTGCTGCTGCTGCTGCTGCTGCAGTGCCCCGCAAGCGGGTGGTCACTGTCCACGTGGAGCTGGCGGCGCCCCACAGAAGCGCCTATAATGCCTTTTGCAAAGAAAGTCTGGCGAACTTGGCAGCAGCAAAAGCCAACAGCCTCGTGCTGCTGTCAACTCTGCGGTGAGTGCTGCAGCAGCAGCAGCAGCAGCAGCAGCAGCAGCAGCAGCTTTCTCCAACTTCAACTTCGCCCATCTTCCGCAGCCGCCTCGTCATCTCCCCCGAAGCTTTCTTTGCAAAACGCGCAGAGGCCCTCGCCAACTTCAACCAGCAAGCCCCCAGCAGCAACAGCAGCAGCAGCAGCAGCAGCAGCAGCAGCAGCAGCAGCAGCGAGCCAGGGTAAGCCCCAGAACTTGAAAAGCCCCTTCGCCCGCTGAACTCTTTGGCCCGCAGACTTGCAGAGCCTTCGAACAAGTTGCTGCTGCTGCTGCACCTCCTGTCGAAGCTGCCAGCTGAAGAAAAGGTGAATAAAAGTTTTATTTTATTTATTTGATTTATTTTATTAATTTAATT